TCTGCCATCGTTTATCCTTTCTGATATCATATTATTAAGTCACCAAATATCACCCGATTAAAAAGAGAAAGTTGCCACACTTGCTTTTCCCGAATATGAGCAAAGCCAAATGAGAAGGGAGCCGGCTATCAGCCGTTTAATCTTTTGCAGGAAGCAAAAATTGAGAGAGTTTATTGAATGCGCACTTCTAGATGAAACAAGTTCTCGGATATCATCCACAGTGCAAGATACTACTTTAGGAGAAGGTGCAATGCATCATACTTGGATGAGTGGTAGGACTGCCATGTAGCTCACTGTGATCGGGTTGAGCAAACAAGGGCGGTTTGATGCGGTAGCCACCGGTTTTGCCCCAGTTCTGGTTCAGCATTGAAGCTATTTGCTCCATACAGATATTGAGAGAAATTCTTCAACCGGTATGATAGACCCGCCTCCCATAGCATCGTTCTATCCGACGGGGTGGCGGGAGTGGAATTCATGGAATGTATGAATTTGTGGCACTCTTTGGCAAACCTGGGAAAGGTGCCTTAGGAGAGAGCACGCATGTCAATCCTGACCGGGCAGACACCGGATGTGTCCGGACACCACTCATGTGGGGGGCGGAGAACATGTTGAAAAACACCGGTGCTCATGCAATCCTGCATTAGTCGTTCTTCCATAGTGGTACAGAGGTTTCACACTAGCACAGATTTCCCTGCTAGTATTCATTGTTGTTGTATTCTAGGTTTCAGTGCTGCAACGGAAAGAAGGTACGGGGGATATGACAAGGAGTGCTCGGAAGTCATCGGTCATGCTCGGTCAAGTTGGAAGACCTCGGAACAGCTGATCGAGAATAGCCAGGCACCCCGGAGAAAAGATTGTCGGACATTAAGGACTCTTGCGTGAGTGGATAGGAAGTGGATTGCTCTATATAAACCCCCTCTTGCCAATCCATAGAAGAAGTAGGCGAGCACAAGATACAATCTATCTTATCAAATTTATTCTTTCCTCAAACCTTTATCCTCCTCCTCACCCGTACACAGAGTCTCATAACAACAGAACAGTCTCGAAAGAGTAGTATAGATGTTCTTGGAACAAGTGGGTGTCAGTCCCGGCATGGTAGATAGCGGATATGTCCAAACACCACGCTCGTGGGAGGCCGAGAACTGGTGTAAGAGGGTATGATAGTAAGCATGCTTTTAGAACGAGAAGGTGTTAATACCAATCGAGAAAACACCAACGATGGCCCAACGCTAGTCTCGCAGGCCGCTGAGCGAGGACAGGAGGGGGTAGTACCGATACCCCCAGAATGTGGGAAAGCCAAGCCTAATACGAGCAACAAATATGTATGGACATCGCTCGCGCGCTCGGAATATGAGGAGGTAGTGAGGATGCTTTTATCAGGGAGGGATTTCCTCACCACCCAAGATGACAAGAACCAAACATCGCGTCTATTGCCGCAAAGGAGTTGCTCAGATCCTGCATGGACCGGGCAGTCTCAATTCCGACACAACAGGTGCTACCAGGCAGGCATCTTTGCTCTTTATCCGCTGGGCATGGGGGTTAGTGTGCGTCAGAGGTGTGGTCTTGAGGGGGTGCTCCTAGTATCATACTCGGCGTTACGGGCCTTGATTCCTGAACTGCACGCCGAGCGGCAGATCCCGATGGTAACTGGGGGTGTGATCTTAGGGACTGTCTCCATACCCGAACATTAGGAACTCCGCTTGGCCCAAATATCTTCTCTATCACACCTCCGCTGCCGACCTTCAAGTTCTAATGCCATACACTCCGAGCGAAACTGACACTCGTCCTGACCCTACCACATCAGGTCTCTCAACGTCTCTCGGCCAAAATTTTCACCATTTTTCCCTCCTGTTTGTCTCTCACTCAGCTTTCCTCGTTTACACCCTTCCTTCTTCCTTACGATACCGGCACAATTCTCGTCCCATAAACAACAACTGTACGCGGGGATCGGCGTGGGCAAGACATGTCACGTTAGTTGTGAGTATCATAGGATTTTGTAATATTTTCTTCTTCCTGACCTCAACCGGCGATTTTTGTGTTCACTGTTTTTTTCCATTTTTATTCTAACTATTTTTCTCTCCTTTCCTCTTTTAGTGTTCCCAGCGGACCCATTTCTCACCCTTTGCTCCCATAATCCGCCAATATTCGGTTCGTTACTTTCACGCGGTATCAGAAAATACGGCACCTGCAGCCAGGTGAGTAGTGATAGAGGGTAGAGTTGAAAACTTCATTCTATATTATCAAGTTTTCGGTTTTCACTCCCGCCCTTAAACACTATCAGTCCGTCACGATAAGCAATCAAACCACTAATGGCGCCGGCCATATCACCTCAAGAGAGCCCGGGTTCCATCGCCTAAAACCCTAAGCCTGCATCACTCGCCATGCATGATACTGTGTTTATATCGTACCACCTACCGGCCATGGCGCTACCGAGGGCGGGGCGTGGGCGGGGTTGGTGCGGGGTGGGTTACAACTAGTGTTGTACTTCTCACGCAAGAAGCTACAGGTTGTCCCCCTACCACAAGAGGTGGCGAACTACCATGACTCCCACGTAAATACTTCCCTCAGCCCCGCACTTCCTGGCCCACATACTGTATGGGAACGGTTGTACCCTGGAGTGGAATGGCGATTGTGGTGATTGATCTGTATTATCTAACATTTGGGAGAGAGGGAAATGGGATTTTGGTGGTGGTCCGGGGCTAGAGTGGAAGCAGATCATGGCTTATGCCTAATCTGGTGGTATTGGGTTTGGTAAAAGTCTGGCCCAGGAGTCCTACCCCCCGTTTGTGGTCATAGCCAAGATATCAAAATTACTATCAGCGTACACTGACCCACATTACAGTACGTACAAGAGCGCCGAGATTACAACTCTCGGGACCTTCCTCCCCCCGCGACAACATTAACTGACCTATCCTGTCGGTCCCTTGGCCTGCCCCGCGAGGGGCTATCACTAGGGAAAAACTAGGTGTAGTGGAGTCTCGTATGGTCATCTTACCCAACCTTTGGCACTCCCCTCCGTTCGACCACAAGTTATAATAGCTACTGATGAATCTGCCGTTAAACTGACAATAATACCCCCTGTATCCGACCCAACCTCCCCCGGCCCAACACCTCTGATGTTGTAGCACCCCCGGAGCTGAACACAGAGCCAGTAAATCCTGCAGTGATGCCCAAAGAAAGAGAACCGCAGGAGCTATGGCCTCGGCAGATGATCTGAGTGCTCCACGGACCGACAGTGTGAGAAGATCCCCAGCCTCTTATAGACCTGAAGAATCGCGCCACAGATCACTGTGGAAAGTCTTAGAATAATCTAGCACCCTGGTAGTTAAACTATTACATTGAATCCACCCCCCTTTATTTGCCTTCACGGTCTTATTCTTTTCCCTCTAAACCTTGTTAATTGGGAGCAATAACTACCATTAGGTTATCTAACAGGAGTGTCCCCACCCCGCCCCCTAACTCTCTCCGCCCTCCGGTCGGTTAGCGCGCTGTAGGTCAGGGTGGTGATGGAAGCCAGGAATCGGAAAATTTCCCCCCTTCGGACAACCGGTGAGGTAACTGAGCCGAAGCCTGTAAAGGAAAGAGAATCGGGGCGTTGGGGGAAACCAAGTGGTTGTTCGGGAATTCATATGAGAGCTTGCGTGTATATAACATCCGCCTAGAAAAAGGGTGGAGGATACGAGATGTGAGAGGATATCGCGCCAGGAATGGAAGTCGCATCTGGTATGGTGTACAATACATAAAAAGGATAAGAAGTTCACCTGGATCACTCGAGAAATATGCACCGCTTACAAGGATATGGTTTGTTACAAGGCTGGAATATGGGGAGGGGTTGGGGTGGTGCTGTTTTCAGAGAAGATATCTACGCTCCCACAACATACACCAGAAAGTAGGACAAGCTAGTCATTGGGTGCGAGAGAGGAGTTGGAGAATCCACCCCTGACTAACTTAGCGAAATAGAACTACCCGTATCCCATGCAATTGTTTAAAAACATCGCTCCTCCCTCAATGCTTAGCATCCGCCAGGCAGGGCGGTGACTCTCCGGTAGGTTTGAATTAAAAATATTGGTCTCGGCGGCATCCCCAAATGTCGAATTGGATCATCACGAGAATAGGATGCCAACGGCTACTTATTCACGGGGGCAATGGTACGAACTGCCCTTTGTTAGCTAAATACCAAAATATTGCTTACTCTAGGTACAATTTGCTTTCTCTCCTTAATACCGGAGGCGTTTCGAAGCGGTGCCGTTCAACCGCACAATGTTGTGCCGGGGAGTATGTGGCTGAGGTGGGTACCTCGGGAACAGAGATACGGACCAGAATCCAGATAACCCGTAGAGAATTAACCAACCTTACTTGAGCAAATATTCTAATGGTAACATGCAAAGAGCCCCGGCAAGACTACCTATTTCTAAACCAAAGCATCCTATATCCGATGTCCCTACCAAGGCAACAGGCCTGGCGACATGACTTTCCCTGGTTTCCCCAGACTCCATTCCATGGATAATATAGCTTGAACTTACCGCTATCACCGGATGGAGGTTCAGGTGCCAGCAAGATGGGATGGGATTTCTGAGGGTATTCAAAGTTAAAAACTCTGACTTTACGTTGATATTTTCACTGACCACCTGTTGCGCTAAGGATACATCAACCAATCGAATTGATCAATGGAAACCGGGAGTGGAATTAACTCCGAGGACACCATTCGCCGGAAGAGTTCAAGTGTGCGCTTCATTCCAAGAGTTCATTCGTCTCTACTATTCAACGATATTGCAATATTTGCCTGCCCATAGCTACATACAAAGGAAAATTCTCAATTCCCGAGAGCAGCTTTAAGCAACATGTATTGCTAGAAGTCACGGAATTTGGACCGATCGCTGAGATTTGATCTATTGTCTTAGCATGCCAACCAAATCCTAACAAATTAAATATAACCTGACAAATTTTGCAGATGCCAATCAATCACAAAAAGGGTTTGAACTCTACACGAAACTTGAACTTCAATGTCTCTGCTGTATGGCCTCCCGTGATACTCTAATCACCTCCCGCAACTGAATAACCATTACAAGCATCTGAATCAACTGCGGAAGGTTCCCAATACTTGCTGGTACACGCATTATTGGCCCCCTCTGCACCAAACATATGTGTCCTGCACCAGTGTGTTCTAAAAGGACATACTGCATGCGGAACCCTGCTGTGAAAATCCCTACAAGCTTCACTTGTGACATGATTCTGGAATCGCCTTGCGCTATCCCATTCAACTGATGTAGCATCTCGTGCAAGCATGTAACATAGTACAAATCATGGCCAAGTGTCTTAGGTCCAGTTGTACCCCAGGAGTGGATTACCCCATCAGCCATTCCTCCATATCCGAGAGGGGGGTCATCTGCGGTGCAGATCACCTTGTGAAAGTCCTTCCAGAGTTGCATTCCTTTCCTCGGCGTCTTTCTAACTTGTACGAGGGGTTCACCACCATCCGGCATATGAGTAATGTGGTCAAAGGAATCATTTGCTGGTTGTATAGTCAAGCCCGGTAGGCCTTGGAGGCCAGAATCAAGTAGGGGAGACCAGATGTTGTAGTTGAGCCAGCTCTCATTGTGTGAACGTCTAAGTGGATTGTCAGGTGCTTCCCAAAATGATAAACTGGTAGAAATTAGTTGCCATATTAGCTATCGTTCCAGATAGAAATGATTTGAAAGAAGAAGAAAAGCTAGGATTTATACAATCTAGCAATGATCATCTCAGCCCACTGCAAGGTAGATTTCAGGGTTTGATCATATGTAGTGCCATCAGGAATGAGACCGGACTCCAGGACCTGATGGAGCATAGATGGTGTCTTGACAGAATTGAACTTTTCAAATGCATCCAGTATTCTGTGATCGATATCTGGCAAGGGAGATAGTCTGGCGGTTATCTCATTCCATTCATCATCCCAAAACCACTCCTTGACCTGCGGGTCCCCTGTGTCAATGATAAACCTGGACTCAAGACTGGTGCAAAATATCTCAAAGTCCTCAAGGGATCCTGAATAGATGATATTTTCTACCCGATTACCACTAGCAAGTACCCATTTAGCTTCATTGTTTAAGCCGGAATACCTAGCTTCCCAGGCGCAGTAGAAGCTAGTTGTCTGTGCAGAGCTATATATACCGCGGTTATCGATTAATTGTTCTAGATCTCTCTTTGCAGTAACGGCCAACTTGCGCTTAGGTATACCGTAGTCTGCGGAGCGGAATAAATCGCCGAAGGTAATGGCCGGCCCTGTGATACCTTTACTTTTAGATGTGGCTGGTGCTAGTTTTCGACTGTCCACTTTCAGTCCCCCCCATAGAACAAGCGGGTGTTGTACTTTTTGCGAATTGGTGGGGTTATGGATCGATCCTATCACATCCGGCTGTTGTGCTGTTTGTGAACTGTTTGGGTTACCGACCGGCCCTCCCACATCGCCCGGGTGTGCTGTTTTTGAAGTGCTGGGGATAAGGACCGACCCGGCTTCATCCGTAGCCCGTGATTTTTGTGAACTGCTGGACCTCTCACTAGGAATTGAGCCTGCCCCATCCAGCTGTTGCGCTGTTTGTAAACGGCTGGGGCCAAAGACCGACTGTGGTACATCCATGTCTTGAGCGGTTGGTAGACTGCCAGGGTCATGAACCGATCCTACCACATCTGGCTGTTTTTTTGTTCGTGAAGTGTTGGTATTAAGGCCTGCTTCTGGTACACTATTCCCTTCACCTAATTGTGTGGTGGGAAGGTCAGGGGCCGACTGTGCCATGCCGTCATCTTGAGATGGTTGTACATCAGGGGAGTTAGAGACCAACCCTGCCTGACCATGATTCCAAAATGGGGGTAAACCTTCAATGTTAATGACTGAGCCTGCTATACTACTGTGGGCAACAAGGCCACAGTTAACAGGTCCAATAATATTTAAGGACTGCTCCCCCTGATTTATTTCTCTATTCCTGAAACATTGATCAACACTGGAGCAATCAGAGTGGTCATCCTACAGTACTCAAAAAGTGTTTTGTTAGTTATATATAAATCTCGTTATAATCGATCATTTCTATATAATATTTCTTACAACTAGAATAGACTATGGAAAAGAAGCATTATTGCGAGGTATAAGAACAGTCTAAAGCGTATTTCAATATAACTGTTCTATTTCACCCTGTACAATTAGAGTTATCAACATTACAAGTAATAACAGGATTTGCAAACAATCAAACATAATACAAGAAATCTGTCATTTCCACAAAGTCTCTGAATAATACTCTTTCAAGTTTGTATTGACCTATGATAGCATTCCTAAAGCATTCATACTCTTTGGATGATTTCAAGATCTGTTGTACCACTAGATACTGGTAATAGAGGTGGAAATATACTGTAGATCTGATGTAACTTACCTTGCTCTCTAACTTTGTCCTTTTGCTACTCCCAGTTGTTGCAGCTGTCCTAGCATTCTTCTTAGACTTTTTTGCACTTTCTGCAAGATTTGATTTTGACATTTTCAGGTAGGATATAAAATGGAGCTTAAGCAATTAGATTGTAATATATAATTGAAGAAGAGGTAGAATATAATAGATAATAAGGCAGTATTAGTAGGATACTGAATAGGTGTACTTTTATACTCTCTCTACTGGACAGAGATTCTTTACACCTCTTGGAATTTGCGTATTTTCTTTTCCAAACTAACTACTTTCAATTTTCTTTAGCTTCTCTGTATGGTTCTTAACCTTATAGGACATTGACTTTGGAACCAGAATTTGTTGCCTGTATTTGGCTTTCAAACTATTTGAAATTGTATCTAGTATTTTCAAATAGTTGATCCGGGCCTGCATACTATTTGATTTGCAATTGTCTATTCACAAGAGACCTCTTTGTACAATCTACAATATGCTAGTTTGTTTAACTTAAATAGTCTTTTCTTGTAAGTTTTTTATTCACTTCATTCAAAATTGATTCAACATTCTTATCAGCTAGCTTTAGTTAATTTTGCTGTACTTAACCTTTCATTTGCTATTTTACTTCAATTTTCAGCTAACCTATCTGACTTCAGAGTACACTCATATCTAATAAGTTTCTGTACCCCTTGGCAACATACCACTATACAACAACTTTAAGATACTATTAATTCAAAAATTAAAATTAAAATTTAATAAAATAGTATATAAATCTAAGAAAATAGGAGAATCTTGGTTTAGAATATAATAATTCTTTGATAATAATGGAAACCTAGAGAAAATAAAATAAAATAAACAAAAAATATGTAGGTTCTTCCTTGTACTAATTTTCAAGATTATTTTAAGGTTTTTAAAGTAAGGTAAATTAACTCTACCTAGATATAAAGGATTCTGAAAGAGCTTGTATATTATATTTTCATACATTTATACTAGTATTATTATAATATTATTTATAGAATTATAATATAATAGATAGATAAAATCTACTATTTTGCTTAAACCTTTATTATTTACTATTTCTACAAAGCAATATGATATTTACTTAATTATACTAATAGTATATTTTGGTTATACTAACAATATTTTTTTTAGGAAAACTATAAAGCTTAAGTAGTATTTTATACTCTTCCTAGAAGGAAATATGATAAAAGATTTTATTCAATTAAACTCTAACTAGTATGTTATTAAAGCTGTATAATAATACTATAACTACCTTCAAATACAATGTACTATTCATTAATTACTGCAGATTGATAGATTAATTTTTAAATTAATTTCTTGAACAGTTTAACCTATACTATTAAATACAATTTTAGGCAAAGAATTTGATTTAAATAACTAGTAGTATTTAGCATGAATATGATATCAAAGATTAATAAACTAAACCATTCTGAAATCTCTCGACACAGTTCTATAAGTTGTACCTATTTTGTGAACCTCTTTTATATTGAATCCTTTATTAATTATCCTTAAGGTCCTTGTTACCTTCTTTATCTGTATTTACTTGTAGTATACTAATTCTCCATGTAAATTGGACACAGGAAACTCCTACTAATATCTCAATATCTCTACTAACATATATCTTAATTTCAAGTTTTGACTGTAACTAACAGATTTGTTGATCCTCTTTGAATAACCTGTAGTTTTGTATTCAAACTGTAAAGTACTAGAACAAATCTTTTCATCCGATTGGGGGTTACCAAGCAACTCTGCAACTACTCGTGCCAAGGTTGCAGCTAGGGCGCTGCAACCTTGGCACGAGTAATTAATTCTGTGGGTACCCTTGAAACATCAGCAAAAAAAAATGAGCCTGCATCTGGAACATGAGTTTGTAATAGAAGGCATCCAGAATGCATCTGGAGTATCATACATCTGGTGCGTCCTGTAGCCCAAATAGGAAATCTTTGCATCAGGATTAAGATGTGGAAAATACATTGTTTGCACTAAATGGCTTGGCAAACAGACTATTATTTTGTATACTTTCAGGGATTTAAAGTGGTATGATTGATTTTACTACAATTTTGCAAGTTGGATTTCAAAATACAAAACTCAATATCATATTTCAAGTGATAAGACTGAAACTTTAACACAATATTATAATATAAAATTTCTGTATCTTTTTGTTAAAATAACACATTTTAGCTAATTTTGACCTTCTATATTTACTTCTTCCAGAGGTCCTTGGGATGCCTTTCTAAGGCACCAGAGGCATTGGAAGATCCAAACATAAACTGGACTTCAGGATGCGGACAACTCCCCCTTTGCTGATGAACAACAGGGGAAATCAGAAAGGGAGAAAGTAGTGGTGAACAAAGGGGAAAAAAAAAAGGAGCTGGGGAAAAATCGGGATCAGAAGGGAACGTGAGGGGATTCAAAGAGGCAGGGGGGAGAGAGGATTGGAAGGGGCGGGGGGGAATAAAGGAAAAACAAAATAAAAAAGTGACATTATGGTGCTCCGGTATGAGTACGGTAAAAAGGCGGGGGGAGGGGGACAGGGGGAGAGGTGAAAAATTAATCACGAAATAACAATTGGCTTACCACCTTTGGGCCCTTGCTCCTGATCTCTTTTTGCTCCGGTTTTCCCAACTTTCTGTGCTCTCCAACTTTCCCAATATTCTATCCAACTTATCATCTCCTGGTGGTTTCAAATCTTTCACATACTGCTGGGTGATAAACCAAGCAAGGAGCTGCAAAAGTCCTGTTAGTGCCTAAATAATCAAGAAGCTTTTTGTTTGAACTACTTGTACTCCCCCCACCCAATCACGGCCATCACCAGATACCTAGTCTGCCATCTCACTGTTCCAACATCACACTCGATTCTCCCGATATGCTAGCAGATTGTCAATACTAATAACTTGCTAACCTTAGTTTGATTACTTACTTTTATTACTTCAAGGAAACCATTTTGGTGGCGAAACACTCTCCTTTCTAAGGTGTTTTCAAACTACAGTATTTACCGTTAGCCAACATCACTAATTGAGTTTGCAAGTGGTGAAGCTAGACATTGGAGGGAGCAGAAGTTTTAGTTATCGTCAGTTTGGCTTCAGCAGGCTCCAATTGCCGAGGCCCATCAGGCATGCTCAAAAGGTGCCGGTATTGATATCGCTGAATTGTACCCCAGTGTTCGCAACTGCGCAGTGCGTCCGTCCTGGACCAGGACCAGAACGGACGGCATTTAGTCGTCCCGTCCGGGCATTTTCTCAACATGCCCGACAGGTAGGAATCAAGTCCCAGGATGGACCATATTGTGTCGTCCCGCCAAGTCTTTTCCTGAACTTGCCCGATCCATAAGAGTAAAGGACCATTCACCGACAGTTCCCTGCCGTCCCTTAAACACCCGGCCCCTCCCCGCCATCCCCCACCGTCCCCCACCATCCCCTACGATCCCCGGTAGTCCTATGTAGTCACCTGCCGTCCCCTACCAGAAGTTGTTTCAGATAGTGGGGCTCATCGTACTTCCTCATGACAGCCGTCCCGTCCAGTCCCGGGCTTTTGGCAGTCCCTCGCTTGGGCCCTACGGGGGCCCTAGATGGTTGAGAACACTGTTGTAGCCAGAGGGTTCATTCTTGGAAGGATGGGTAGATGGCAAAACGAACGAATGAGGTAGGATATTAGGGGATTGGATATGAAAGTGCTGGGTTGGAAAGTGCTTAATGACCGATATGACGATGTTAGGGATTGGGTTTTGGAGACAAGCAAATGTTGGAATTGGAGGAGTGGCCAGGGTGGAACCGGTCGTGGCGTCTTTTTTTGCGTCGGGAATGAGGGGGCGGGCAAGGCATATTTAAGGTAGGTGGCGGGGTTTGCCGGAAGCAGCGGGTATCGCTGACCGTGTGGAAATCTGGTACCCTGGTGATAGACAGCCTGTGCGATCAGTCACAGAGGGAACGTACCGCTATTGCATGCGTTTACTGCAATTACCTTGCCCAGCAAGAGTAGACAATCATAAACAGGATAGGAGCTAATACCCGGAGAGGGCACATCCCGGATTATGTGTGTGCGGCATTCCAGGAGGGGGAAAGGGATATTGGCGGTGGGGGTGCTGAGACTTCCAAATGTGATGAAAATGCTGAGGATTGCTATTAATTCGCTGCCACGGGTTTTTATCTGTATAGATGCACTGGACGAATGCTTGCCGAAACATCTGCCATACCCTCCCAAGCCGCCGAGAGATACCACCCGGGAGTCCCCTATGACGCTAATATTCCTCACCGAGACCCCATGTCTAGGAAGATATTCAAAGATATTTACGCGAGCGGTGATAATACCCATCAGTCCTAACACCGATGATATTAGGAACTATCTTGGTATTAGGTTGGACAACGACCGCTAGCAGGAGTCGATGAACGTTAGTCTGCGGGCCAATAGTATCAAGATTATCCTGCAAACGCTATCTGATATGTGCTTAGGACCAATTAGCTTTTGCGGTCAATCAATCATGTATACTCACCAATGGTTTTGTGTAGATTCCTCCTCGGTTCCCTAACCATGGACGCTATTCTGGGGGAGGTAACCATTAGTCAGGGAAGAAAGAAAGCTGAAGAAACGACAAAAGGCAATGGACAGACCAATGCATACACCGCTACTCTAACCCGACTAACGGCGCAAGAGGGAAATAAATGAGTACTCGGAATAAAAGTTCTAATGTGAGTAATAGTATATATTCGGAGAGGGCATTGCCGGCTGATGAGCTCTTCCATGCCTTGGGAGTGGAGATAGGATCTGGGGATCTGGACGTTGAATATATTCCTGCGCTATGGACGATCTTAGCGTCTTCTCTAAGTCTTGTCACCTTTGAAGCATCTTCATCCACTCTCCGGGTGGTGCACTTTACTCTCCAAGAGTATCTCTTAAGTGATCCGACATTGTTCTGTAGTCCGCACTCAACAAGCGTCGCGGTTTGCTTGAGATATCTCAATTTTAACTGTGTCTGGAATATTTCGCTAGCCCCAGTCTCGCCCTCTTCAACCTTGTCCCCTCTAGAATATTCTACTTATTGCTGGGGAAATCACACAAAAAGAGGGGTCACAGAAAACGTGCAAACA